TGCCAAACTCTGTTATAGACACTGGAGATACAGTGGTAAACAAAACGAAATTCTTGCTCCTCATGCACAAATAAATATTTGACATAATTTCAGTGATAAACACTTACCACCAGTGTTAGGTACTGAGAAGAACAATAGATGGGAAACAAAAATAAAAGGAGTGTCATTGTTAGAAGTGGTTAGAGAAGGCATCCTGGAGGAGGCAACATCTGAGCAGAGACCTGAATTAGCAAGGGTGGGAGCCTTACATTTAGTGAGGTTTCTTTAGTCTAAAGAAGAAGAAACACACCTCAGAGAAGGGCAGTGTCTTTCCCTAGATTACAAAGGTCCCAAGATGTCTCTGGGGAGGGTGTTCTCCTGAGATCCTGGGCTCAGGTGAGGTACTCAGAGGCCGTACTGCACCCTCAGGCCTTCCGCCCACAGGTGGCTGTGGTCTCACAGACCCTGAGACCACCTCTCTGGGTACCAGGTCAGCCCACTGGTGCCTTCACTTTGTTTCTTCCCCTCCCCCTTTCTGCCACTTCCTCTGTCCTCCCCTGCTTCTCTCTCTCCCCTGCTTCTCTCTCTCCCCCACCTCCTTCTTGTTGTTCGTACAACACTTTATGGTAAACACGGGGAAGTTTATCACACATAAACACATACAGGTCCAGTTCAATGAGCAACGACAGGGAGAATGCCTGAGTAGCTGGTGCCCAAGTGAAGAAGCAGAACAGTGCAGCCGCGCTGGAAACCTTCGTGTGCTCCTTCCCATTTTCTTTCATCTGTGGCAACCTCTTCCTTGCTTTTCTTATCATGTAACCACCTACATATGTGTCCTTAAACAGTATAGTTGAGTTTGGTCTCACTGTAAACTTTATGTAAATGGTATAACTCTCCATACTCGTTGTGTCTTACTTCTTTCATTCAGCATCCTGTTTACAAGATGTACCTCTGTTTCTGGATATACCATGTTTTGCCATTATAATGCACACTTTTTTGCCCAAATTTTTGAAGGAAAAATAAGGATGCGCATTACATGTGGGTATAATGATTACGTACTGTGGGTATTATAATAATGGGTATAATAATCCTGTGTGTAACGTGCACAAAAGGTGGGTGTGCGTTATACACGGCAAAACACAGTATTAGCTAGTTTGGGGCTCCCTTTAGAAAGTACCATAGACTGGATGGGTTAACATTGGAAATTAATTTTCTCACAGATCTGGAAGCTGGAAGTCTGAGACAAGGTGTCAGGGGTCAGGGGGGTGGGTTCCTTCTGAAGGCCACGAGGGAAGGGTCTGCTGCAGCCTCTCTCCTGGGCCTGCAGAGGGCCTGCCTGCTCCCTGAGTCTTCATCTTCCCTGCTGTACCTTCCTACATCCAAGTCCCCTCCTTCTGTAAGAACAGGAGTTATCTTGGATTAGGGCCCACCCACTTGACCTCATTTTCATGTAATTACGAATGTAAAGACCCTGTTTCCAAATATGGTCACACCCTGAAGTATGGGGGGGCAGGACTTTAACATATGAACTGAGGGGTGGAGACTGAGATTCAGCCCAAACACTGGTTGTTACTGTGCGGTCACTCATTTTCATCACTGCAGGGTATCCTATTGCACGAACACACCACACTGTTTGTATCCATCTCCTGATGACAGGCACTTGCGTTGTTTCCAGTTTGGGGCCATCACAAATGCTGCCGCTTTGAACACTCTTTCACCTGTAATTCAGTGCACATGCGCCATGAGTTTCTCTGGGTTTATAATTAGAAATAGGACAAATGAGTCACAGGGTAAGCTTATCTTAGATTTTAGAAGATATGCAAATACTTTTCCAAAGCAGTGGCCTCAATTTCCCCCACCACCAGCCATATATTTCTGTATCTCTACCCTTCTATTTCCTCACCAGCACGTGGTAATACTAGACTTCTCCCTGTTAACTAGGAGGTGGTTCATTTTGCATTTTCCTGATGACTAATGGGTTGAGTACGCTTCCACACTGGCTACCTGGATCTCCCATTTGTAAAGTGCCTGTTCAAGTTCTTTGCCAATTTTTCTATTAAGTTACCTTTTTAATTTTTAAATCTCTTTCCTTTCTACAATCATGGGTATTTTATTTTATTTTATTTTATTTTATTTTATTTTAAAGCTACAGTATTCACTTTCCTGCCAGTGGACCTTGGTCAACACCATCTGATCCACCCTGAAAATGTTTAATAACTTGCATTTCAAAGAACAAGTAATGGATGCCTAGACCCTTCCTTCCCAGACACCCTGGGCTTCTCTTACACACATTCCGACTTTCTCCTCCAACTTCCTGCCTCCACATGTGGATAGAGGCTCGCCCCATGTTACAGCAACCCCTCTTACCTGACCCACCGCCATGCCGCCTGCACAGAATATGATAACTGAATGAGATATTGGGTTAATGTCTGGTGTGGTCCTTGGAACCCTGTATGCTACTAGTAAACATTTCCCTTTCTCCTTCTTGAGGCTCTGCAGGAAGGAGGAAGAGCAACAGCTAAGAGTGACACTGACCGACTGCTACCTGCAGGCTAGGTTGGATGCCAAGGTCAACCCACTGTCCATCCTTTGCCATTTTCTTCCCTCTTAGTCGCAGATTTTATTCAGGGTAGTTATGTGTGTCCTCTGCCTTTGCCGCCCCCCTCCTTCCTCATGCCTGGAACCTGGAGTTCCAGGAACCGCCTTGGACTGCAGGCCGTCGCTCCCAAAGACGAGAGAGCCTGGCCCTGTGCCGCAGCGGAGCCCCAAGACCTTGAAAGACAAGTTGTCTCACACAAAAGAGAAATCAACCTCTGTCATCTTAAAGCCACTGTTATTTGGTTTTCTATTATATGAAGCAGAACCTAGTTCTGATACTTAAAGAAAATATATGTTTTTGGTTAAATAAAAACATGTGTTTGCTTGAGGTTAGTTTTCCTGCTTCCATTAAAATCATTTTTGCCAGTCAGTAAATGGTAACATTTACTGTTACATTTTAGTCTCGTAACATAGGTACCATAACATATTAGTCTCCACACTCAAATTTATATTTTTCAAACAGCCTGGAATCAGTATTTTCAAGTTGATATCAGAGTAACTGAGACAGAGTATCTTAAATTGGTGAGAAATTAGTATTCCCTAGGATAGAAGATATTCCTTGGAAATGCAGACTGGTGCAGCCACTGTGAAAAACAGTGTGGAGATACTTCAAAAAATTAAACATGGAACTGCCTTTTGACCCAGTGACCCCACTTCTGGGAATATACCCGAAGGAACCCAAAACACTAATTTGAAAGAACATAAGCACCCCTATGCTCATTGCAGCATTATTTACAATCACCAAAATATGGAAGCAGCCCAAGTGTCCATCAGTAGATAAGTGGATAAAACAACTGTGGGACATTTACACAATGGAATACTATTCAGCTGTAAAAAAAAAAAAAAAAGAAAAAGAAAATTTTACCCTTTGCAACACTATGGATGGACCTGGAGAACAATATTCTAAGTGAAATAAACCAGTCAGAGAAAGACAAATACCATATGATTTCACTCATATGTGGAATGTAGTGAACAAACTGAGCTAACAAGCAAAACAGAGACAGACTCATAGATGGAGAGCAGATGACAGCTATTGGGTGGGGGGAGTCAGGGCATAGAGGGGTGGAGCAAAAAGGAAGGACTCATGGACAAGGACAACAGTGTAGTGACTGCAGCAGGGGAGGGGGTTATAATGGGAATAAATGGTAATAGGAAAAATACAATACTTTTAAAGTAAACATTAAAAAAGTTTTAAAGTAAATATTAAAAAAATTTAAAAAGAAAGTATTCCTTCCTCTTTTTAATAAGTTAAATTGTTTACAACAGCTACACATAGGTATATGTCAGGATACTCAGGAGGTAATGAATTCACTCTTTTTGAATAGAACTGGCATCAAATACAAAGAATGTTCTGCGTAATTAGCCGGGCTGTTTCCTGTTCAAACAGAGACTCTCAAGTCAGGGCCTCTACCTTCCAGGACTGGAATGTGATAAAGATACAGGTCGTAAGTCACTGTCAGCTTTCGGGTTAATGTGTTTGGTCGCTGTGTCATCATTAGAATAGAAAGTGGTGTGCGCATGCGCACATAGAAACACACTGCACGTGCTCCAGTGAGGACGCCGCGTGTGATGCGGGGTGGACACTGTGGGTTCTGAGTGTGAGGCCTTAGATGATTCACTTAATCTTTCGGAGCCTCAGTTTCTTCGTCTGAAAACAGTGGCCTATAACATGGATGTAGCATGAGGATTAAATGAGAATGTGCGCATAAAATGCCTGGTATTTTATATGCATTTTTATTAACACTTCATGACTGTAAAATAAGGTGGGTTTCCTTTTATTTTTAATTTGTCATTAGACTAATTTGGGGCAAAGAAGACCAGTCTGTCACTTCCGCTGAAGGCCTTACTCCTTCCTCAAGCCACTTGAGTCATTCCCACCAGGCCCAGGGGAGAGGACGCTGGAGCCCTGGCCCTGACACCCTGCCCCGGGGTGGGTCCCAGAGTCCCTCACTTCCCCAAGGCAACAACCCTCAGCACCGCCAAAGCCCAGAGGAGCTGGGAGTAAGGAGAGATTAAGTTTCTGTTTTTATTTAAAGATCCTAATTTCTGGACGTTTATTTTGGGGATTACAGTGGTAGCTTAAGCTACTTTAAGACACTGTAAGTTGAAGTCTTTCCTTCACTTGGCTGCTAAAGTTTAATTCAGTCTAATTATTTCATGTGGCATCAACGATAATAGTTTCATAATTTCTAGTATATTAAGCACTTAATATGTTGTGTCATTTGAAATCACATATTAAATTCAGCAAAGTACATTTTAATGAGAGTTAAGTGGTGTGAAAATATTAATACAATGTGATGGCTCGTCTTGGTGCTCGCATTTTGTAGGTCTGCTCTAGATGCACACAAGCCTGGCTCCCCAGGTGAGGGAAGCGTTTAACCGCCTGGGGCTAGAATGGGTGTCTAACAAGCCGACAGTCCTACCTTCTGCCACACAGCACTTCACAGTGGAATTTCTCATGGGGCTGCATGACCCTATAAAGCAAATAGGGAATTATTATTTTCATTTTAGAGATGAGGAAACTGAGGCTTATTGCTGGGCCATAAATATGGCTCTTCTCGGCTCAAAGCCACTGCAGTTTTGCCCTGTACCACAGCTGCTGTCAGCGTGACCTGGGGAGGGGCGGGGAGTGATGTCTGGACTCTGGGGCAGCAAGGATTTGGACAAGGTGTCGCTCTTCTCCTACCCTGCAACCTCACATAGAGAAACTCACAGAGCCACCAAGATGCTGGCAGATCTTGGACTTGGACTTGGCACTTCTTTTGGACCCTCTTTCAGAGCGTGCCTTCCACAACCTAAACCTAAACACCTCATTCTCTTAGGCCACACTGGGATTGCCAGAGAAAAGTCTTGACTAAATCATGCTGAACCCTTAGTATATCAACAGCTCGAAATCATCGGGCATCAATGGAGGCTTTATGACAACAGAAAGAGAGGTTTTAAAGTTTCCCAGATTCCTGGAGCTGTACTTCCACATTTCATCTGGACACAAAGAGCTCAGAGAGCAAACTCCAGTGTGACTGACTAGCTGTGCCACTTTACCACCCAGGCCTAGGTCTTCCCCATTGGTTAGATAAAAATCTCAAACTCCCCTGTGCTTTTCTTGGAGGCATTGGAATGAAGTAGAACATCAGAAGACCCTGTGTTCATCTTAAAGGGCAAGGACTCATGTGCAGCTGAGTGAACAGGAGTCAGTGAATCTATGTGGTGTCCCTTTCGGGCAACATAACTGCATTTTAACCAGGCTCTTCTGTAACTCAAACCCAAAGGATTAGAGCCTTCTGGGTTAAAACAGCCCTCGTAGTAGCTAAGAAAAGGAGAAATAAAAACACTAAGAAAATGAGGTACTAGAAAAGAAATTTTCATTGTAGCTCAAAAATAGTACCCATTGTGGTTAAAAAAGGAAGGGGGAGCTTTTTTTACTTTTCAAAAAGCTTTCTTTCATCCACAGTTGCAAAATTTAGGAAAGGAAAAAGGAGAGTAATGAAATGGTTACGTATTGAGTATTTTTATACCTACCATGTACTTCCCACACGCCCAGGGCCTATTCTAATATTTCACATGAATCCGTTCATCTAATGTGCTAGGGCCTTTCACATTCAATCCTGCATTTAATCTTCAAATAACCCTGCTAAACAGGCAGCAGAGTCCTCATCCTACAGGTGGGAAAACAGCCAGATGCTCACAAAGAGATCTGGGGAATAGTGAAAGTCATGGTCTGGACTACACACTGCCTCCAAACGCAAGCTGGAGAATGGGCAAGATTAATTGGCACCACTGCAGTTGGGAATCTGGGATGGATTAGTATAATTGATCTAAGCACAGCGGGGGGCCAAACCAGAAAAGCAAGAAGTCTAGGACACAGTTTAGGAGAAACTCCCTCTGAGTGGTCTGCTGGCCACACCAGACCCCACTTCTTCCCTCAGGCTACCTTCTGAGCTGTGGATTCACAGACCCTGTTTTACCTGCCCCACCTTCCCTCCCAACCCACTTTCCTGGGAGGCAAAGGAGGAAACTTTGGAAAAACTCATTCACACTGAAGTGGTTTGGGTAAGAGAGTATGCTTGAAACTGTTACGACAAGGCTTTAGTCAGAGAATGAGCTGCTCAGAGGGACTTCTGGCAGCCTAGGGTATGGGTCTGGGCCGTTGGAGCTTCTGTGTCAGGCCTGTGAACTCGGCATGTCTCTGCCCTGAAATCCAGGAAAGCCACAAATGCCTTTCACCCCCAGAGTTCCCATTACGGAGAAGGCCAAGGCTGCTTCTCTCCACATCCCTTCTCACTTCGAATGAAATGATATATGAAAACTCTCAATGCTCTCTGGCTGCAGGGAAAGTACCATCATTTTAGAGAAGTCTAAGATCTCCTGTCTTCACCGACATATTTTCACTATGAAACTACACGGCTCTTCACTGTTCAAAATCAAAGTAAAACTGGCTCTGTCCTCCCCCACTAGAGTTGTGGGAAGTGCCACTTCAGACAGGATCAGGAGAACCACTGCTCATCTCTTGGGGTTCTGCAGCTCAGGAAGTTCAGGGAAGGCTGTTGGGACTCTGGCTGCCTCAGGTGTGCAGAGGGGAGAGAAGCCAACAGCTCTGAGAGCTGGCAGGAGCCTGCTTCCCCTGCAGCCCTGCAACTGCCGACCGTTGTCAGTCCTCTCTGGCACCTATACACTCCTTTACCATCTGTCCCCTTGGGGGTCTTTGGGAGCTTAGGCTTCCCTGGAAGTCATGGTCACCTTGGCTCACCCTCACTGAGTCCCTCCATGTGTCTCCTCTGCTGCAGCTTCATGCCACATAAAGCCCATTTCCTCCCCTCTCACCTCCCACCCGCTTCCTCCACAGTGGGCCTTCAGGGCTCAGGGGCGAGTGTCATATGGTTCAGCAGGACCAGACCCTAGGTCCACAGCCCCTGTGGACTGTTCCTGGGGTTTTCATGCCCCAAGGATGACCAGCATTCCCCACCCTTCTAGAATAGAAAACAAAAAAAGGTTGAATTTTTTACATCTTGCTAATTACAGTCTCAAAAAAAAGTTCTTCAGTTACCCAGTTACAAAAATCACAGCAATTCAAAGCTGAAAGAGATGCTAAAGATAATCTCTAGACAATCTCTAGAAAAGTTCCCCACTTTGCAGGAGACCAAAGAAGACCAGAGAGGGCCTGGCAGTTGGCCAAGGTCACAGACAGGTGTAGGGAGGGACAGGAACCACAACTCAGCTCTCTCCTCTGTACCACAATTGCTCAATACAAAAAAAACAAACAGGCAAACAAAAAACCCACCTCTGGCTCAAAATAACACGATCATGTCCCAGAAATGAACATCCTGGTCCATCTCCTGCTGGTTTCTGCAATAAGGCAGTTATGAACCCACAGGATGTACCTGTCACCATGACACGTGTGTGCATCGACTGTGTCGAAAAGCTTCTCCTTCCAAATAAATGTAATTGAAGATTAGCATCATCTCCCATCAATGCTAATACGCTTTTCCGTTATTTGCAATTCCCTTTCGTAAATCTGAGAGAAACATCATTGCCCAAATTAGCTCTTTTCGCTCAATAAAGGCCATATTAGCATTCTGAGGTTTGCATTCACTTACTGCTTAGAGAGAGGTCAGATGAGAAGTTGGGCAGCCTGAGCCCGATTTCCATTTCACTAAAGACAGGTGGGGGAGGGGTCTCCAAAGTTCCCAGAAGCCTGGCCGGGAGCTCCCTGGCTGTGGCTGAATGGAGCCCTCCGCTCTCACAGTGCATGAAATACCTCCACAGTCGCCTCCCATTAAAGACTGGCCCAGGTGGGTGAAACTGACTCAGGTGCCTCCAAGGTCCTTCTCTGCCTGTAACTCTCACGCTGTCTCCCTACTATCAAATGACAGCTTAAATGTCCCCTGCCCATCCACTAAAGTGGCCTTCATTCCCCACTCACTCTCTATCCCTCATGTTTTTTTCTTTCTAACCGGGCTCAGCCCTGAGAATGCTCTTTTCTGGCTCCCTTGCTGGAATGGAAGCTCCATTTCGACAGTAACCCTAGCCAGTTATTCACCCCTGTAGCCCCAGCGGTGACGTCACAGGTGCTCCACATTTGGTGAACCAATGAAGGCAGGAAGTAAAGTCAGGCTGGTAAGGCCTTGGGAGTATTGCCTAAGAGGTAAAAAGGAGATCGCATTCCTGGTCCCAAATCTTGAGTTTCACAGTGAAAGGGAAAAAGATCAGTATCCGAAACCAGACTTGCATCGGAATCCCAACTTCTTTCACTACTGGCATTAAGGGAAATGGCGTAAGTGCCTGACCCAGTGCTGGATCCAAGGATGGTGACCTTCCCCCGACAGCCACCCACCCTCTTCCAAGTCATACTATGGAAAGCCTGGGGGATACGTGGCTGATAGCGCTCGCCCTGAGAACCCCAGGGAAAGTGGCGGCGCGCCCTGGCCCATCCCAAGGTGGCGGCCACCCCTACGCAGCCCCTTCCAGTTCGTGATCCACGACTCCTGCCCTCCCAAGGGTCACGGTCCCGGTGCATGGGACGGAACAGCCCGAGCAGCAGCTTGCATCCGTTCCGGGGTCTCGGAGCACGCTTTTGTGGGGATTTCACCAGCACCATATAGCCCCTAGCCTAAAAAAGTGCACTCGCGCCACGAACAAGAAGCACCTCTTAGATTCTGGGCCTCTGGGCTGCCGCGTTCCGGCTGCCGCGTTCCCTCCTCCGCGTTCGGGGAGGAGCCCCAGGACCGACTCCTCCGCGCCTAATTGGACCGGCGGGGAAGAGATGCGTAGCGTCACGCTCCACGTGACCTAGCGTGACTATCGCCGTCGTCCGTGAGCCGCGGAGAGGTCGGGCAGTAGGAGAGCCAATTTCCCATGGTCCCTTCGTTTGCATATATAATACGAGAGGGTTAGGAAGGCAATTAGATTTAATAGTAAAATAATCGCAAAAAATACAATTACAGTAGGTGTTATACAGAAAACTGTAAAGTAAATATTTTAGAGTCTAAAAAAAGTGCACAATATAATCACCATAACTGTAAAAAGTTTTAAATTTTGGACTTGATATACTTTGCAACAAGGCCACAGGTTCGTGCTCGCTTCGGCAGCACATATACTAAAATTGGAACGATACAGAGAAGATTAGCATGGCCCCTGCGCAAGGATGACACGCAAATTCGTGAAGCGTTCCATATTTTGGTGTTGAAAGGTCTATGTGGGTGCACAGTAAGCATCTTGATACAGATACAAACAATTTTCACTTACAGGTTCTTTTGTTTGTCACAAAGGAAACTAGTCACAAAAGATGGGAAAAGGAATGATGGATAGTGAGATTCGTCTGTTTGCGTGCTTTTCCATCTGGCCTTTGGGCCCCATTCTTTTCTTTTGCACCTTGCCTCTGCTTCCCTCTGCATTATCCTGAGTTCTACCGTCTCTTACACCTAAAGAAATGGCCTTGATAAAGTTAATCCATTACAGGTCCTAAAACATAACAGGACTTTAGTGCTACAGTAAACATAAAGCGATCTAAAACAGGAACTTGGACCAAGACTGACTCCTTATGCTATTGCCCCTGAACCTTAATGATGATGATAATGATGATGATGACAATGCCTCCTTACTGGGCATATAACACGTGTCAGGGGCTTCACCAGTATCTTAATATTTCTGACAGCCTTGCCTTGTCACTATTTACCTCTGAGAGGTAAAAGCAAGGTTATGTAACTAGTAAGTGGCTGAGGCAAGGTCTGAGATGTTTAAACACAGACCCTGAAAAGATGGGAGACTCGCCTCCAGATCATTCAATTGCAAAAATCACACTCCTAACTAGTAAAGTGAGAAGGAGGAAGAAAAGTCCAACAAAGTTCAGGTTTCTTGTGATGACTCTGCCAACGTTTAATTGAAATATCAATTTCTTTTTCTAGGAGAAAAGTGTTGGTGCTTAATCTTTGATGGTGCCTGAGCATGCACATAGTCTTCTTGGTGGTCCCTGCAGCCTCTGGGAGCCCAGTCTGAGGGCCTCCAGTGGTCGCAGGGTTCCCAGTCTCTGTGCCACGGGAGTCGAGACAGGCAGTCAGAGGTGGAGCTCCAGTGCCTACCAGGGGCAGCGGAGGGTAGCTCCCGGTGGGTAGCTCCTGGTGGGTCCTTGCAGCTGCCAGGCAATGTTCGATCCAGGATCCATTTCTGCTCTCTTCGGTGGAGGTGAAATGATCCTTTAGAGGTAACAGCTGAGAAAAGGGGTCTGTGGGACTTCCCCTTGTGCCTCCTCCGATTGTGGCCTCCAATGCATGGAGTTAGAGGACAATCTTTGGTTTTCCTTTCTTCCTCCAAAGATGCCCGTGGTTCTTCTTTGGAGGCCACTTGAACAATTGGGCGAGTGGTTTTAAATGTCTCTTTCTGGGATGCCAGATAAGGAAACAACCAATGTTGGTGTGGCTCTCCCTCCTTCTAAAGAAACTCATCATTCTTGGCATGACTACTGTCTCGGAGCAGAAATTAGGAAAGCCAGGCAATTCCTAGTCCTGGAAAAGCCAGAATGCTGGCTCGCTCTCCTGGCTATGCACAGTTCTATGAAGCAGGTATCCTTTATCCCTCATGTTATAGGTGGGGAAGCTGAAGCACAGAGAGATTCAACAACTTGCACCATGTCACACAACTTGTCAGTGGCAGAAAGGGAATCGAGTCTCAGGAAATCTAGCTACAGAGTTTGTGAACTTAACCAAACACTGAGCACCTTGATCCGCCAGGTGGGGGTTGGAGAGTGGGCCATAAGGGTGTTTAGAACTAATGGTAACAGCATGCAAGTCCATGCTGCCTTTATCAGTGTTCTGAATTAAAGGGCAGGAGGTATGTTTTTGCAAAGGATGAAGGCTATACTTTAGATCCAGGTAGCTGGGACTGGTATGTGCCCAGTGACTTGGGAAAATGTAACAGAGTGAAGGAGCACCTTCTTGGGGATGCAGTTGGAAGAGGAAGAAAGTTTTTCCTATTCTAGGTTGATAATCACTTACCTGACACCTGCCCCCCCCCCAACTAATCCTATTGATGAAGGATATTCTCAGCACTAAACCTGTGTTTAATTAATCTTATGCAAATAAGATTAATTGCTTCCCAGTAGCTGCTGTCCAGAAGCACCTAGGGATTCTTCCCCTCAGACATTTCCAGCACCTAGATGAACCCAGAGCTAGAACCCATTCATCTCGACAACTCTTGAGCACCTGTGAGGCGCTGGGCCTCGTGTTGGAGGTCACAAGGAAGAGCAAGACGCGGCCCTTGTTGCAGGGGTACTTGCAGCCCTATGGGAAAGGCACACAGCCAAGGATAACTCCGGGGAATGTACGCATCCCCATTAGCCTCAAGAACCAAGTGTCATGGGAACACAGGGATTAGTCCCAGGGACGCAGGGGTCTTCCAGGTGTCTTTTGCCTACAGGTTACCCCAATTTACAGAGGAAATGGAGGTAGGGAGCAACCTACTGGTTTCTCCCAGGGGAGTGGAAAATCAAGCAACCTTAAGTTGAATCCACCGGCTCCTCTAGCTTCGGTTCGCTGTTTCTCACCTCGGAGTCGCTGGGACGGGCGACGATAGAGACCCTCCGCCCCACATCACCTCCCTGTCAGGGGACCGAAGTTCCTCCCCTGAAAAAGGGGGTGAGAGGCGAAGGCGCATGGTTCATCCGGTTCTTTCCCCCTGACCCCGGACTCCAGGGCCACACCTCCTGTGGGCACAGCTGGGGGGCGGGGTGCGGAACCAAATATCCAGAAAGAACAGCCGGGAGGACATTCTGCGCCACCCCAACCCGCTCCCAAGTCCCCAAGCCCCGCTTTTTCTCCCTAAGACATGGCGCCTCAGTTTTTGGCCTTCGGACGCTGGATGTAACGCCTAAAATATGTCGCAAGGTGGCAACATTGTGGCGAGAAATAGATGAAAAAATTCTGTTTTTTTTTCTTTAAGCATATTTTCCCTATTAATGTTTCATTTAACTTAATTAGAATCTGGTAAACTAATTAAAGTAGCTACGAGCCCCGCAATCAGCAATAATTCGTATAATTATTGATAATTACATCCATACCAATCGTTTGGTTATTAACATTTTGGGGGGAACAAACCACTTCTGAAAGGACGCGGAGCCCAGGAGGGTTTTTGCGACGGAGTTTCTGGGTCGGACCCGCCTGCACCTCCAGTCCGCAGGTTCCGCTCCGGAAGGGGCGCCCTTTCCGCCGAGGCCCCGGCTGCCCACGCCTTCCCCCCTCCACTTTGGGGGGTTCGGAGAGGAAAGGTGAAAAGGAGTGTTTGTTAGGTTCCTCTGTGTGGGCCGCAGTCACTGAACTTCTGGCCGGGTAGTCAGTTTTTCCATTTCACGGAGAAAGAAAGTGCGGCTCCCGAAGGTGCGGCTGCGCCGAGGGGGAAGGCGCACGCTCCCGCCAACACCGGCGCGGCACGGCGGGACCCCAGCGCCGCTCACCGCCGCCCCGCTCCGCACCTCAGCACCCCGCATGCCCCTAGGACGCGAGTCACTTCCTCTCTGGACCCTAATTTCGCCTTTGGTACAATGCAGACTAATCTGGTCCATCCCACTCATAGGAATTGTTCCCACTCCCTGAAGGGTCCCTGCAGGAAGTCGTGCGTCCCGGGGCCACTTCCCTCGCGGCGCCTCACCTTTACCTGGCGCCCTCACCATTATTCTCTTTCATGTCCCCTCTTGTCTAGCCCTAGTAATAACCTGGGACTTGAGGACTCCAGACGCCAGTACAGGATGCCCTGGGGACTGGCTACCAACCTTGACCACGCGATGGGCTCCCCATTTGCACCCCTTCCTGGCGGCTTCGAATGCGCACCCCTGCTCGCCAGCTACGCTCCGAGCCCTCTAGACGACCCAACATCAAACTTACCAGCCCCAGCTGCTTTCCGGGCGGCGTGGGACCGCACGCCCGCCTCCAGGGTCTCCGCCCCGGGCGCCTGGCGCCTCCCGGAGACCGATGCCCAGGGAGAGCCTGAGTGTGTCGGGAGGGCGGGGTCCGCGGACCGCTGCTGCCCTGCACTCTGTGTCCCTTCCAGAGCGCTTCCATGGGGAGGGGGACCTGCATATTATTCTACAGAGGACGGCACCGAGGCCTAGGAGCAACAGGGCACCCCTGCTAGTCAGCCGAGGAGGTGACACTGGACGCCACGGCCGCACGGTCCCCGACACTGTGCGCTCTCCCACTGCACTTACACTGTCCTGTTTCCCCACCGCAAAAGGTGCGCTGCAGTTCCCATTCTTTACCTGTAGCCCCACCAGCAGGTGCGTTGTGGAAACCGAGGTCCCGGGTCAGGTGAGGCCTCGGTAACCGAGGCCCGTGCGCCCTGCCGCCCCCATCCCGTCGGGACCTGGCGAGCGCGGCGACCCGGACACCTGCGGCTGCTGGGCTTCACCCTCCACGTCCTCAAACCCACTCAGACTAAAATGTATGGTGTATTAAATTCCGCCAATGCTCCTTCCCTTCGGGGAACGTGTACCCGTCGTCGAGTCTCGCCCACCCCTTCCAGGCCTCACCCTCCCAGGCCCACCCTGCCTACCTCGCTCCCCACCCCGCCCCGCCCCGCCCCGCCCCGCCCCGCCCCGCCCCAGAGCTCCAGGACCAGGTCTGCGGTGTCCCGCCTTCTGGCAACCGGCATTCCGGGCAGCGCCCCGTCTCCAAGAGCCCTGGAGGTGACCTCCTAGGTGGGACAGGCTAGAAATGACACCAATAAACTCTTCTGTCTCCCGAG